TACTCCGTGCTGGTTCAGGGAGGACATGGTCTTGGAAGCGCCCCAACCTCAGTTTTGGAGGTGAGCTTGCAGGGAAGAAACTGCATCCTGAAGACTGGGAATCTCAGCTGCGCTGGTTTGAAAACGGAATCCTGAAATTTTCCACAAATGGGTGAAATATGGGTGAAATATGGTGAACTTATTGTCAAGTTTGCTTCTGGTATAAGCAGTTCTTGTGCACGGGGACAATTTTGAAGAGACAGACCCAAACAGTAAGGCTTGATTTCCAATTGTTCTTGGCAGAGTTTGCCCAATGTTTGTGCGCTGACGCTACTTTACGCTGGATTTTGACAACTCAGAAAGAATGAGGTCAAATTGCTTGAGATGAATAGCTTACTAAGATTGGTCCATGTACCACTGTACCTCTCTTGGAGTAGATGGGATAAAACTCCCATTGTTTTTGGGGGAAATCTGCAGGAACCACCTATCTTTGGGCTGAAAAAACTCAAAACCACTCCATTGGAACCTCAGTGTGGTTGGTTTCCTTATTCATATCCATATAATTCCCATATATATATATATATCCATGATATAATCCCATTACAACCCATGTTTTCAGCAAAGCGCAATCTATGGACCATAATGTTTCTTGCTTACTAAGTATCTTGATAGTTATATGTCACCATGTTTGACTCCCCGCTATCATCTTATATCATCACTATATATCCCCAATATCAGCCGATTATATTCCCAATTCTGATGATCAAAATTACCATTTTAATTTTACATCGTATCCTCATTCCAGATCATTAAAAGACCATATTTAGATATATTTAGATCATATTATCCCCATGTTTTCCCCATGTTTTCCCCAAAAAGCAGCGATCTGTAGCACCTTGAGGACCTGTGTCCGGCTGTCTGGCCTCAACAAGGCCGAGCTCAATGGCTCTAGGGCCGAGGTCATGGAGGTAGATGTGCCAGCTGGGCGGTACCTGGTGCACCTTCAGAATGGCAAGCAGATCAAGGCAGGAACTCAATGGGAGGTGCACCTCCAGAATGGTTGCTGGTTTTTGGATGTTTTTTGGGGGGATCTTGGAAAGATATAGCAAAAAATATGCAAAAGATGGGAGATGATGATTTTTTTTTAACAAAATCAGGAGAAGAGATGGGTGGGAAAGAAGGGGACATGAATGACTATCATTATGGATTGGTTTATGATTTAGAAAAGACTGGGTCTGTGTTTTTTCTATCTCCCCAGGCTGTTCAGCAGCACCCCTGTGGGAGTAATTATTTGGTGTACCCAAATTGATTTTCCGTTGTGATAGGGCGTACCTAATGAAAAATGATATATTGTCACATTGTGTATCAGGAGGGAATGCATCAAAATAGTATTTCAGAGATGGGCCTAGAAAATCTGATAATGTGGCAAGCCCGATATGTAGTAGACCATGCCCGATACGTATCCGTTTGGGGGTAAGGATTTAGAGACAGATCCACCAAAGAGTTCTCGTTGGATTTGCCGCATTACCATGTTGCTCTTGGAAAATTACAAGCGTTGGGGGAAAAACATCGTCTACAATAGTGGATTTTTTCAGTGCCAGATTTGATGCCTACAAACTATACCTTATAAGATCTTAGCATCGCAGCAATTTTTATCCAGCCACAGGTGAAATTTGAGAATGTGCTCTTCTGAGATCTGAACATTATGCCACGCCTCCGATTTTGACTCGCTCGCAGCAAATCTCTTAAGGAGATGAGAATCATTCTGAATCTATGTTTCTGAACAGTTTGGAGCAGCATTTTCCGGAATTTGCTGTTCCGGCTGTTCGTTTTGTGACACCCAAAGTTCTGGGTACTCATTCCGTAGTGGCCATGGAATTCGCTCGACCCGAAGGGGTCGTGCCACATCCTTGTACAGTTGGCGGCTCGAATGAGCAGAGACTTTAGTAGGAGCGCCTAGCGCACAGTTTTCGCAGGAAAATCCAGTGCAGGGATTACTTGTTGCTGTTTTGAAACAGAATCCGCATCTTCACTCGGATTGAAACCAGCAACCAGACTTCGACTAAGGATCGTGCTACACAGTTAGGATTGCAACCCTTGTATTTCTATGTGTTTCTTTTGGATGCGATGAATCTAGTAAAGGACTACTCGTATGGTTATCCGAGCAGCACAACTTCTATGAATCAAGAGTTTGCACGGGCGAGACTTCAGCAAAGAACTGTTTGTGTGAGACTTCGCTGTGGAGATGGACATTTGGCTAGATGATGCTATATGATGCATTTATGATGCTATATGTATGACACATCTTGACTCCAAGAACAGCATCTTCTTATACCAAAACTGACACATACTTGGATTGGGACTCCATTCCCACCGAGGCCAATTTTTATGCCCCCCTTGGCTGCGCTCACGGGATCGTGGGGCTCTTGGCAGAACGTGGGAGACCAGGAAAGCACCAGGGTCCACGTTCTTTTTGGCAACGATGATGTTGGTCCCCCATGATTTACCTTGCTAAGATCGCAAAATCATCAGACTGGTGGATTTTTTGGGTGGCCATTTTTGCAGATACCAAGATACCAACATACCAACATACCAAGATACCAAGATACAGGATACCAAGATACCCGTTTAGCACGGTGGGTTGCCGCTTGTGGTATGTCCCAGTGGACTCGCAGGTCATCATCTCAGCCGTTGGAGTCTCAGTATTCACAGGGGTTGACCATTCGCAAAAGATATGTTGATGTTCACTATAGTAACTATTAGTACTCGTAATTACTGGATTTTGATAGCCAAATGTCAAAGAAAATCACCATTCTTGGTGTTGGAGCACGAGATGTGATTTTGCAATCCTTGATTGATCAGCTGTCATTGTGGTGTTTTTCATGTTTTTGTTGCAAACCTGAGGACCCCCAAAGCAAGCATCGGCACAGAGATAAGCAGGTTCATTTGAGACGTCACTCCCGACCCTCCCTGGAGGTCGATAATTGCTGGTGATATCCTGATGTGCATTATTGATGTGTTAAGGTTTTGGTTATATAATATTATATATTATATATATATGTATGTGTATATATATATATATGTTGTCGTTGTTGTTGTTAAATATGTTGTTTATTGTGTTTTCTTTTTTTCAATGATGATCCCAATGATGAAGATTTTTGAGGGGTTGAAACCACCAACTAGCACTGTTCTTGTCGACTGTCCCCTCATTGAGCTTAGGTCCACTACGCCGGCTGTCTTGGCTCCTTTGCGTAGAGTACGACGAGCCACAAATTGGCGTCCACATCTGAGTGACTTCATGCTGACTCATGCAGAGAATGTTTGGCAAAGTATCATTTGAATAAATTGTGCTATCATGTGCTATCTATTTTCGATGAAGAGTTGGGGAATTTGCGGGATCAGTTCTTTGGGTCTCAAAACATTCAAGCACTGTGCGTGTGTGAATGATTTTGATGTGTTTAGACTGTACTGGAGCCTGATCTCGCAGTGATTGCTTTGGTTTGAAGCCGGAGGGACCATGACTTTCTGTCGCTGGACAGACTTGTGACCTAGCAAGGTTGGAGAAGTCCAAGGTGTGAGCAACATCTGACAACTTCATTCGATTTTTAGCTTTAGAAGTTAAGATTTGCATCCACTGATTCTGAGTGTGTGGAGTAAGAAATCAACTTCTGTGTTCGGCTTTTCAACAAAGCATGGTCAAGTGTGAAATACACAATCAACTCCTTTTCTCTCCTCCCTTTAAACAACACATAATAATAATAATCAATAATAGATAATAGATATATATATATATATAATACATATATATATATATATATGAGCAACAGTAAAAACCCCGACAATACTAAATATGTATTCGACGGACATTGGCTTATGGAAATTGATGGAAATTGTTAAAAACACGAGGTAAGCGATGGGACCTTCCCAAATTAGCGATACCCCTTTTCAAGGTTATGTCATCATATTTCTCTAATATCCACATTAGCGATACCCAAATATCACATATTATTCATAGTTCATCATATATAAATACAGCAGTTTCCTGCAAGCGATACCCCCCAAGTTTACCATATATCATTATTGTACAAACGTGTGGTAAGCGATGGGACCTTCCCAAATTTGTGAATGTCCTTTCCGTGAACCTAGGGTTTTCACAATCGCTCATATATATATATATATACATACATACATATAAGATTTCAAGCATATCCAGTGCGGGTAGTTAACCCAACCTCTGACACCCTTGAACCCCAAGGTTCAAGCTGGCACTGAGCTCATGGCAGAGCTTGATTAGTCCTCGCGAGTCGGACTGGAAAATGGATGATTACCCCTCCGAAATGTATCAATTTTCCATTTATCTGGTTGGTGGTTTGATGGTTTGGAACATTTTTTTTTCCATAATATATGGGATAGTCCTTCCCATTGACTAATATTGTTCAAGATGGTTAAAACCACCATCCAGTTCCATTTATCCTTGGATTCCCAAAAAGGGGGTTTGGAAGAGGGACTTGTTGGCAGAAATTTAAACAATATATCAGACTTCACGGGCGTAGTTCAGAATCCGGGACTTATGAATCCAGATGCTGTGGCAACATCCTTTGGCAATAGCAAGGATCCGCCCAAACAACGCGCATTACTGGTGCACTCCGATTCGCAAGGGACAGCTTCCAAAGCAAATAAAGTGTTTTAAGCAATGCCCTACCAGGGCTGTCTCACAGTTGTGCATAGGACATGGGGCAAGCTACACCACCAGGTTTCAAAACTGAAATGCTGGGCGGTGTGTGTGTTGCTTTTCCATCATTGATCAGAGGGTCGATGACAAAATGCAGCAAGACCTGCCAGCGTTTTCTCTGAAGCTCCTTCTGGTCAGGGCAGCATGGCAACGACCATCCCCATGACACTTGAGATTCAGGCCACTAATAGGCTAGATGTCCCTTCATATCCTAGGCTTTCTAACATCCGTGCCCCAGTTTGTGCAGCAGACACACTGCGCAGCCATTTTGGGGCTCCTTTCAGGCGGCTTTTTTTCATCGGCAGAATCCAGGGTGCAAATCAAAGGCTCAACTCGCCATGGAGGAAAGTAGGTGGACCTTGTCTTCCATGCTGAGCTGGATTGCACTGAGCTCTTGTTCATGTGACTTGGAGTCCTTTCAGATGGAGATAGTATGAGAATGTATGAGTGAAAGAGGACTCGATTGTATTCTGATTTTGTAGAAATGACCCTGAAACAACAAACATGAGTGGTCTTGTGTGATGTCACAACATTCTCCTGACGAAATGAAAGAGATGGATTCAGTATTCAGCAAAGCTGCCTTTTAGCATGTGAGTTCACAGCAGACAGCAGACACACAGTGATTTAACGCTGAAGACGTGTTTTCCCTACGGGAGATTGTGCCACTAGTCTTCCTTGGTTGCCAAAAAACATTCTACCATACCTGGTACTCAAGTCATGTTCTTTCCTCGTACGTACATATTTGATCTAGGCACATGATGGCACATTTACATGCATGGACATGCTTGCTTTCCAAGGTGATACCACAACTGTAGGCGGGGCGAGATTTCTGAAAGTCTTCTGGCAAGGAATGACAGAATGTGAAAACCGTGCAAAACCCAGTACCGAAGCGTGCCGACGGCAATAAAGTAAACTACAGCGAATTCGGGATGATTGCACCAAGTTGTAAAATATTTAAAATTATGATGTTTGCATATTTTTGCAATGTGTTTCCCAAGTTTACTCAGCCTTTCAGCCATTTTTGAACCATACGGTGTGTGCTATCACCCGTGTATAGTTGGGACCACATGGCAGGTACAACCAATGATGCGGAACTTCGAACCACGACCACACCGATGCCCGAGGCCGGCTGGGGATATTTCACCAGGATTTAGATATTTAGCTTGTTTGTTTGTATTTGTTTGTTTTCAGAATAGTTCAGAATCAAAAACTCATCAAATATGTGAGGATATAGCCTATTATAGTCTATGAGTCTATCATTCTATCTATAGTTGAGAAATGATGGTGGATAATTTAGTTTAAAGATGTTTAAAGGTTCTACTATTCTTTACGTATCTTTACGTAGTGGGGATTAGCCCTTAGGCATTGTGGGAATCCGGATTAACTAACCAGTCTAACTGACATGGCTACCCTTATTCCATGACATTCAAAACCAAAATAGAGAAACGATATGAACAGATATGAAAAGATGATGGTATCCCAGTGCAATTGTATTATTTTGTATGCAATTACCCCATTTTCAGACAATTTCAGTTTATCCCAGTTCCGTCTTTGCGTTTGTGTATTTAGATGGTAAACATGGTTTCTCAACTGAGCTGGTCATCAAGAAACAAAGCTCCTTCTGGCTAAGAAGTCTTCAGCGCAACTTGAGCGAATTTAGGATTGTTTAAACATAGAGTACCTACCAATTCAATCAGATTCACTGGTCTAACGCGGTTTATCATATGTTATCGTAGTTTATCATTATTTTCGAACATGTTCCCCAAGAAAAATCCCCAGAAATTAAGTATACCTCACTTTTCAGACCCAACCTTCAGCTGTAGGTGCACCCTGCGATCAAGACCATTGAGGCAGTTGAGGTGGACGAAGAGATGCTTATCTGATTGATCTTGGGCAGTGCAGGGCGGATGAAAGCATCAGTTGCTTCGGTACCAACTGAAGCTGTAGAATCAACTGAGAGTTTCCAGTGGAAATATGTTTGGAAATGTGTGGATGTGTTTGTCATGTTTTTGTTTTTTTGGGGATATCCAAGATATCGAAGTCCCAAACAGGAACTAAGATGAACTGAGCGCTCCAGCCAGATATGTCGGCAGCTACCCAGGATACGTATCACTGTGATGCTGTTCTGCGGTCGCGCCTTAATTTTGCAGGTGCCATGCTGGGTGTATATCCATGGTGTGACATGGGGCAATACGGGGTTGGGTGTTCAAAATGTCGAACCCCTAAATCCAATGAAGCTTAATCATTCATACTTTTCCAATGCAAATCGCCACAAAATGGGGTACCCCGGATATTGTGAGAGAGACACATATTGTGGTCAGTATCCCCTACAGTGTAGCTGTGCAAGTCGCACAGGCCACAACCTTGCAGACTGTGGCGGACCTCAAGAGTGACATCCAGAAAAAGGAACAGATCCCAGTGCAGGACAGTCGCGTCCGTATTTCACTTTGGGAGTTCAGAGATGGAGGTTTCCTAACATTTGGGGTACTCCCAAATCAAATCATCAATTTGTTGGGTGGATTTTCCATCAGAAAAAGCCTCCATATTACCCTCTGGTAATTTAACATAGCTATTGAAAATCACCATTTTTAATGGGCAAATCCACTATTTCTATGGTCATTTTCAATAGCTACGTTAAATTACCAGAGGGTAGGGGTATCCCCTATGGAAACCTCCGTGAGTTTTGCATCCGGATACCTCTCCCCTGGACTCCCTGGACGCCGTGAGGAACAACTCCTGATCTTCAATGAACTGACTGGCTCTCAGATGGCTTCGTCCACAAATGGGGATACCATGGATACCCCTTAAAGTGGTCATGTTATGCAGGGATAGGGAAGACCATAGGCCATTGGGATCCATTGGGTATTTGCAGACAAAGCCAGGACTGCCATCTGAAACTGACTTTGGAGTAAAACAACCTACGAAGATATGGCCAAGTGTGAGTCTATCGGACTTTATTTCATTAATGAACAATTGCAAAATAGAAAATGTCAGAACAGCGATGTGTTTAAAACAACCTATCAATCACCCACAAACGTTTTTGTTCTCTTCATTTATCACTGAGGACATTGAAGAACACGTGCAGACTTCGGGACTATGGCATTAGCCATGACACTCGTTGCCAAGTCGGTAGGCAAATGCTTCGTAGATTGATGTAGATTGTTACAGCCTTAGCCTCGTTCAAATGCATTGATGCTGGCAAGTGATGCTGGCAGTTGCTCCTGATGATCCCAAGTGGAAACCAGATCTGAGGATTCTTCGCTGAATTTGGTGCGTGTCATGGCATTGGACCTGAAGATCATGGGTGCTGGGAGCAGGAAGTGGAACCTCCGATTGCAGCCTCAGGATGCCGCGGGAGCGGCGACGACACCATGTTGTGCCATGTTGTGCCTACAGGCAAGAAGATGACACAAGCATGATGTATTACTATGTATTACTATGTATTACTATATATTACTATGTATTACTATGTATTACTATGTATTACTATGTATTACTAATATTTATTACTATGTATTACTATGTATTACTAATATGTATTACTATGTATTACTATGTATTACTATGTATTACCATGTATTACCATGTAATACCGTGTATTACCGTATATTACCGTGTATTACCGTGTATTCCCGTGTATTACCCTGTATTACCATGTATTACCATGTATTACCATGTATTACCATGTATTACTATATGTATTACATTTGTATTAGTTTGTATTACTATGTATTACTATGTATTACTATGTATTACTATGTATTACTATGTATTACTATGTATTACTATGTATTACTATGTACTACTATGTATTACTATGTATTGTTCTGTATTATATACTATGTATTACTATGTATTAGGTAGATTTATAGTATTTATATCTATGTATTACTAGAATGAATTACTACAAGCAACATCAAGCATCAGCAAAATCGGTGTGTTCCGCCATTGGTAGATGTCCAAGCACGGACCCCGCCCGAGCAAAGGCCAATCACCCAGCAATACCCAAACCAACGCTTCCAACCTGCTTTGTGCACAAAATGCGGCAAAAACCGCAATTTGTGGCAATATTCATAGGACAAATATGAACAACTGCAGGCAATTTTGAATGATTATGTTAGAATGTGTTGGTAATATTTTAGGTATACCACAATATTCAGATGATAATCCATTGGGTATACCACAACTGCACGCAATTTTGATGGGATAAAGATCTGTCAAAACCAGCCCCAGGGCAGTGCCTGCATCCGGAAGCGCTCTTGACTCTGATGGGCAGGTTAAGCCTGGGGTTATATTTTAAGGCTCAATGGGGATGATCACCATTGATCACCTGGTAATGGGACTCCTAGAATTCCAGTGATTCTGGTTCTTCATCTTGGATCATGTTCAGATCCTAACCACCTGCAACCAGTTTTGCTGGCCATCACCCTTTGAGGATTCTCAACGTCCGTAGGTTGTTGTATGTGCATCACAGTTAGCAAGCGGTTCATGAGCTTAAAGTATCATCCAGTTGTATATGGAATCCACCCAGTATATGTATAAATATATATATATATGATATAGGTAATATATATATATAGATATATAGGTATAATAATTTATGATTCCATGTATAGTAACATAAAGTAAAACCAAAAAAAATAGAAAATAACCACTATATTGTTCGGACATTATTGTTCTATCATGTTGATCCTCTCTTTTGTTGGACTGCCACTATTTTTTGGATCAACACGTTGTGGGCACAACGAGACACCGTGAGGACACCGTGGAGGAGATAAAGACTTTCATGACCCAGAAGGTGGACATTGCAGCAGAACAGATGCTCTTCGTTTGCAGAGGACGGCGTCAGTTAGTCATGAAACTGGCATGAAAGTGGCAGATTGGAAATGATCATAATTCAATGAAAATGATACCATAAATGGATATAAATGGAAACCCAGTATGGACATCTACCCAGCAGTATACTTGGGGAATGGAATGATTGCAAATTACTTTACGATTATCTTTACATAAATAAAAGACTCGGGGAATGATCATGAAAGGATCATGAAACTGAGATGTGTTCGGGGATGAGGAAACTTGATCAAAGATTAACCAGGGGATTGGATCCCCCAAAATGGATGAGGGTACCCCAAAGTTTGATGTTGTTTTAGGTTGTTTGATCATGCTCTCCGTAAAAAAGGCCATTTGGGGGTAAAAAAAATCACACACAACGGTCAAGTTGGGTAATGTTGGGTATCTGGGTCTGTGTTCCCTTTATTTTCCATTACTTCCACAATCTTCCACAGTTCTATTGATTGAAGCCAATAGATTCAATAGAAAATCACATAAAATCACCATTATTGCTGGGAAACCCACCATGGACCATGTCTAAGGTCATTGAGTCAGCCAAGTCAGCCACCGCCCGCAGGAGTTACGTTGGAGGAGGGCCGCACCTTGCAGGAACTGGGTGTGCAATCAGGGGACATGGCGCCGTGGCAGCAAAAATATGTTTGCTTCGAGACATCCAGTGGGATATATACATTATATATACAGAGTTATAATCACATAGTGGGATATAAAATGATATGATATAAACACTTGGGTTATGTTGTTGTTTTTTCCAAATATGATGTGGCAAGAAGAGATATCCAAACATTTATGATGCGAGTGACTTGGCCCAGAAGACTGGTTGATTTAGTCAACGATACAAATGGCGATCTCGCTTAGGCATCGGATTGTTGGGGGACAGCGGCCCAACCTTGGTCAGACAGAGAAGCCATGTTCGCATCAGCATATGATGTGCCATTGACCCTTTCAAGATGTTTGATTTTTGGGGGTAGCACTTGGTAATGAGCATGATGCCACCAGTATATAGTATGGTCTGAAATGGTGGATACTTACCCCAATGTGTGGCTATTTTACTATAGTGAACAGGATGACACAGCATATGATATCAGGGTACCCACCTTTGATGCATACCTAAGTGCTGGTGGTGGGCATCCCTGGTCCAAAGCCACGACCCGAACAGGTGGCCTTGATTCTTCGGCTCAAGGGTTGCGGGCAATTCATTGTGGAAACAGATGCAGGAGCAGCGGTACCATTTTGGTAGCAAATTATGTCACTATTTGAGGAGAACCCCTACTGGAAGTGCTGCAATAAAACCAGGGTTTATCAATCCGAGACATTATCCAAATTGTTTTTGCAACACAGCGTAAGCAGAGACAGAGTTGCTTTGCAGTGTCACATATTCAATGATTTCGCGAAGTAATAATTGCTATTTTTTTTGGAACCTTCTGTGGCATATTGCGTGTTACCGTGTTCCTTCCACATCAAATTGGCTGCCAGGAGATACCTTCAGGGTTGACGGTGCATGTGCGGACAGAACTGTGGCCGACGTGAAGACTGCCATTCAAGACAGAACAGGCACCCGGAGATGAACTAGACAGAAGCGAGATTCTGAGCAGCAGGGTCATTGTCCGCGTCAATCATGCAGTTGACTCCAGACAAACTGTTGAGTTGGGGATATGATGGGTATTGATGGGCTATGTAAGTCACGTCTTCTTATGTACCATATATATTGCGTATAATATACTCTGGTAGGACAAGTCGATCCATACTCGTTCCAGACTCTGATAATATTAGCCAGCCAGGCCTTGAATTTTGCGGAGCTTCTGCATTAAATTGGCCAGGTATGTTGCCCAACGAGCAGCAGCTGAGCTATGGAAAAATGGTCCTGCAAGATAGCCAGACCTTGGAACACTATGGCATCAAGAAGGTGAGGTTCCCAGTGCCGCCGAGCCCATGAGGCCTCAAGCTGCAGGAAAGGGATGGAAAGGGCCTCATGTCAACTTTTGGGTCCGTTGACGCCACTGAGAAGATCTGAGAAGACTCAAAGCCAACACTCATATTTTTGCGTTGCTAAGGAGTGCACGATTCATCTTGCTCGGCGCACTGCCAAGGCCCGAATACTGAGCTGTGTGCTACAGTTGGTTGAGATGTTTTTGCTGATGCAATGGACGGACTGGCATTAAATATGGTAGATTCTAATTAGCATGTATGTGGGTGTGAATAGATTGACAATTTTCATGCAGCACACTTCTATGATGTCTACACAGTAGTAGTGAACACAAGTTGTTGCCACACCAGTGATCTTGCGTCTTGAGGGGCTAAAAAAAACAACTTCCAGTCCTGCAAGCAAGAGAGGTCTAGCAGAGATCAAGTCAATCCTACTTGCGATATTTTGGGATCATATTCCAAGACCAGTAGGATTGACTTCATATGACCAATAGGGATATGTCCTACTCGTGGGATCTTATTTCAAAACGATGCTAGTTACTTGTGATATCAGCACTTGCGTTGCTTTGTTGACAAAACCACTGACCAGTGCTGATTTCTTCAGAGCAGGATGGGTGTCGCGAAAACTGCTGCCTTTGCTGCTGATGTTTTCAACGACCTGCTTGAGGTGCGAGCTGGACGTGGTTGGTATTTCCCTGTTTCAATTATGGAAAATGGATGCACATGGCGATTTTCAACCTCTATGTTAGTTCTTTCACATGATGAAAAGTCACCATTTTTGGTTGCGAAGCCTGGCCATCTTGGGTCGTGGAGGAAGTTGTCACATGCAGTTTCAGTGGAGAACCGATCCAGCATTAGCTGCACTGCAGGAGCCAGATGCAAAATCAGATGGAACATCTTTTTTGGACTTGTTCTGAACCCTATGGTAAAATATGGTAAAATCAAGAATGAAGTTTTCCAGGTTGCGTACAGTAGCTTTCTGTTCAAAGTTGCTGAGTTGGGATCAGTTTACCCCTTGAATCCAGCAACTCACTCCAATCAGCGCCAGGTCTGGCAAAATTGATCGAAGCATATCGAAGCAAATTAAGAAACAGCATAGCTTCCAGTGCAAACCACTTTGTCCTGGATACTCTGACTTGCTTTGGGGTCAATGATAAGATCGAGCTGGAGAATTCGGTGACGGAATATATAAAATGCATGGGAAGCACCAGTTGCAGTGATTAAACATGAAATCCCTCGAAACCAAAAAGTTGGCGAGATGTCCAAACATCAAGCTATATCAAGGAAGTTTGACTCGGGCGGGGGACAAGGATAGACGTTGGATTTTGGAGACTTCATGGACTTTCAAGATGGCCATACAGTGCAAGAGTTGCAGTCCCAAGCTGCACCTGGTACTAGCATCAAATGGCTCCCAGATTTCACTCTCGGTCGCAGGATAGATGACACATATGAATGAATAAGTCATGAGAATGCTATGCGACTTACTGCTGTGCTTGTGTTTTCCTGAGATTGATCCATTTTTGCACATCATCCTCTTGAGACAAGATAAATGGTGTCAGCACATGTCAGCACTGCGATTGATGGTGGACTCTCCTGCAACGTTTGTCTGAGCTGACAACGAAGTTGTATAGCTCCAGACAGTTGTGCACAATAAGAGCAACGGCAAGCGGATCCGACCCCAGTTGGAGCTAGGTCAAATCATTCAAAATCTAGGAAGCCCAACCTACTGGGATACAGGTAGTAGGGTGCCAATCATCCCATTTTTTGGGCAGGTTGACCCATGTAAAGTTGGTGATGGCTTCAAAAATGAATGTGTTCCTTTGTGCTTGATGCACAGAGGAAGGAATAGCACTGCGACTCAATGCAGGACAAGAGTCTGTATGTTCACTGATTGTTTATATTTCTTAGCTTGCTTCTTTCAGCCCTTTTTTCGATCTAATTGGATTTTTTCTTCCAACTGACCTCCCGTGTCTTGTCAATTTTCTTGGGATGGGCTGAAACTATCAACCACTTCCAGGTCTCAGTCCGCCTCGCTAAACAATTCGTCAGACGTTGCTGAGACTCCGGCACCGTATTTTCGCAATGATCGATTGCCAAAATTGAGGGATGATCTGCGAATCAGAATATGAATATGGATAAACCTTGATTGGATAGTGTTTAGACGTTTTCTGGGTTCTAGCAACCTCACTGTTCAACCTCTGTCATAGATGATGGTTCGGTTTATTTGAACCAGCCAGAAAACAACCAGCATTTGGTAAATGCCTGTATCTCAACATGGGGTGTATCCCCAAAGTGGCAATTGGTATGGAGAAAGTGATAATAAACCAATGGATTTTAGGGGTGTTCCCACTATTTTCAGACAAAGCTAAAACAGAAGCCAACTGCGTTTGTGCTGTGAAAGACGACGGAGGACAGCCTGTAGCCACTGTAGTCTGTGAGAATGACTGCTGCATAATCTCAACCTCTTAAAGAGGTTTGCGTTGAATCGACCTGGCTCCCGCCCACATAACTGGTGGATATTGGTGGATGGTTTCAAACATGATTCAGTGATTCATGATGCGTCATTCCAGGTACACCGAAACAGTGGAGCTCAGGTACTTGGCATATCTTGGTATTGCTGATGTTGACAACGCCAGCACTTCGGTAAAGAGCTGCCCCGGTGTGTCCCTTAGGAGATCCTGGGCTAATGATGTCCCACCCAATCAGATGATAAGATCAGGATCTCATTATATATATATATATGTGTATATATATATATAGTTATTTCCAGAGATTGGAAGGGATTTAAGATTGGTCTCGTGCCTGTTGCCTCGAGATACGTTGATGATGACGATGATGACGATGATGACGATCATGGCGATCATGACGATGATGACGATGATGACGATGACGATGATGATATGATGATGATGACGATCATGACGATCATGACGATGATGACGATGATGATGATGATGATGATGATATATAAATGTATATTTGTAGATATTTGTAGATATATGTAGATATATGTAGATATATGTAGATATTTGTAGATATTCATTCACATAAAATCTATTTATATATAATCATATATATATATGTATACATACATACATACATATGTGTGTGTGTGATATCCTGGTATAAGTGTGCGTGGCTTCATACACGCGCATTTTTATACACACATGCAAGTGTGTATAGTATTACTAATTACGGACCTATTTGTGTATTATTTGATTTATCAGTGATCATTGCTTTTTTTTGTGACGCTGCTCCTGGATCAAGCCTGGACTTGTCATGATTGTCATGGTCGTTTAAGAGAAAGCATGCTGCCAGTGCAACAGCGACAACGTCAATTTCCAACCACACTGAGAACGTTAAATTAGACTCTAGTTACTCTAAGTTAGTTTTGTTCATTCAATACATGTTTGGAACTTTGAACCGTTCTACTTTCCCAAGTAGAAACTATGAGGCACCCAATGAGTTTTTCATTATATAAGTAACTTCACTACCTTATGGAATACCTGAATACCTGAATACCTGACCTCATCCTCCATCCATCCATCGCATCCTCCTCGACCCATGCAGATCCTGAGCGATGGAGTCGCCGGAGCCGTTGGATGTTGATTGGCGCTCCATCCTGCGAGAGGGGCCGCTGGGATCCCAGCGAAAAGCCACGGAAGATCTCATCAAAGATATGGAAGATTGATGAAGATTGGAAGTATGAATGAATTGGAAGTATGAAAAAAGGAAAAAAAGGGGATGTATACTAATCCAATATATGAAAAACATCCAATATACTTCAATTTCGATTGGAAGTATCTTGATTATGAATGATTATGCTGGTAAATGTTTTGAAATACTGCAACATGGAGATATTGTCCATGGGATTTCACCAAAACTCTTTGGTTCGTTTTTCATCGAGCTAACACCGGGGGATATTTGGCTGTGGACCTGAGAATGGGGGAGTTTTAATATGTTTTAATATCCCGAATTCATCTCATTCATGTTCCTTTTGAGAAGAACAAATGATGATAAACCCAGTGGATGGAATGGGGTACACCGGTACACCCCATTTTCAGCCCCACCCGGGTGTACTCAGCCAGGGGTGATACTGTAGCAATTGGATGTGCTGCTCGTGTACTGATTTCTGCTTGGTCGTTTGTACCACGTTTTCTTCGTGGTGTTTCCTTGATTGGGGATAACCTCTGGTAATCAAACATGGCAATGGACAATTCTCCATATATGCATTTATACTAGTTTGTAATCATTTTTATATATGTGTACACACACACATATATATATATATATATTAGATGTTCCCAATAAAACCTCCATTGATAGGGAATGGCTTCAATGGTTCGCTCATGATAATGGGTTGTTCAATCCCCAGGTGACCCACACAATCTGTGTCCATTGCTAACTATGGACCCCTACCCAAATCTGTGTCAGCATTGAAGAATGCTGTCATTTGCATACCATGCGCCCCTGACAAATCGGACTAGAAGTCTGGTTGTGTTTTTGCTGAATGCTTTGCCTGTCCTGTTGCATTGATGTTCAGATCTGTCTGCCTGGTACGTAGCTTCTGGTAGTTTCACATGGCCATGGAAAATCACCACGTTTCATAGCTAAATCATCTATAAATGGGTCATCTGCCCCAGAGATAGTTTTCCACATGTCTCCAAGGCCCTGGAAGTAACATCTACCCTCCTGTAAACTAACATAGATGTGGAAAAGCCATGGTTTCCCTGGGTTTCCCTCGGAAAATGATATGAATCAATGGGTGTTACAGATGTTAGTCCCCATCGCCATGAAGGCCCATCCTTTCTGAGCAGGTTCCGACAAGATCAATCCTTTCTGAGCCGCGAGGATTGGCGGAGCATGGCAATGTCACCAGGCTGGACTTGACCAACGATGTCTTTCTGGTTGACAATTGGAGAAGTGGGGTGTGGTTGGTCAACCACAACTGGGAAAACCTATTGGTAGATAATCCTATGATATTTATAATATGAATATAATATGATAATATATAGATAATCCATGATAATCCTCTAATATAATTTATTGATCATCCACAACAAACCAAAAACTAATCCTATGATATTTATAGATGGTCCTGAGATGTCCTGAGCACACCTTTTTTTGTCGAAGCTCAAGTAGTTGAAAGCACGAGGGTCGGTCACTGATGTGTCGCTTGTTGGTAACAAGTTCCACCACGCTGGAGATGATCTGAACTCACAACTGTCACAACGTACAGAAGTTATGTAGCCCAGAAACCACCAGACAGAACTGCAGATATCATTTAAGTAGCTAGTTATAAATGTGTGTTTCCCTAAAGGCCCTAACGAAAACGGATTTGAGTGAGTCAGAATTCCGAAACCATCCACGGCCAATGTATCCAATGGCCAGTTTTTGTTTGCGAATTGACTGGGAATTCCATTAACGCTGTCCCTCAAGACTCTAGATCATTGGAGTTTCCAAGCTTGATATGAAATGATCCGAGAATCGCAACGGGATTGGAGTTGGATTTTTACGAAGTTTGGATGCTTTGAGTTAGATCAGTAAACATTGGTAAATCATGGTAAATCAACATAAATCAACTATCCATGGCCATTTTCATTAGCTATGTGAGTTTCCCGGAGGGTATCTCGGGAATGTGCCCCCAAGATCACCCCCACTAAAGCCCAGAATCCATTGTTGCAGGTCGGAGGAGCGCTCGAGACACTTCCTCAGGGCTCATCCCTGTGCAAGACCGAGATGGGGTGAGAAGAGATGGGAGTGGGGTAGATCTACACATCTTCCACGACCTGTATCCCCATGAAAGATGGGTGGCAATTAAATGTGTATGATCAATCTAAAAATACAATTTGGCCATTTGAACATATTTGACACCACAAATAGCCATTGGTAAAGTCGTTGGGTCACAGCTTTTTGACCTATGCCCACTTGAACGTTTAACAGTGGCGGCTCCATGGTGTCCTTCAATCTATGGTCGAAGGGATGAGTCTGATCCTTGGAAACTGAAAACATCTGAAAACTACCCTCTGGTAAACTAACATAACTATGGAAAATCACCATTTTCAATGGGTAAATCCACTATAAATGGCCATTTTCAATAGCTATATGTTAAATTACCGGAGGGTAGTGGATTTTCCTGGCAAACTCCGTGATTCGAAACTCGGCATACTTCAACGGTGTTTCTGGTAGGACCTGGTAGGACAAACAGAAAAGGTTCCCGTTGAGTCTGCATCCGCT